TGGGGGGCTCTGGCGGCCGCCGGCCTCGCCCTGGGCACTCACCCGGCTCCCGGGCGGCGCGACCCGCCGCCCCCGGCTCGGCCTCCCTGCAGGACTAGGGTCCCCCCGCGGGCGGCCGTCCTCCTCCTCCTCCTCCTCCTCCTCCTCCTCGTCCTCGTCCTCCGGCGGCGGCGGCGGCGGCGGGCTGCTCCCCGAGCCGCGCGGGTCCCCGCGAGCGCCTCCCGCGCGGGACGAGTCCCGGAGCTGCCGGACCCACGCAGTCCGCCCAGGCGTGCGGAGAGCGAACTTGGGCTCGCTTTGCCCGAGCCGGTTCCAAGCACAATAGGGATTCCAGCCTGACGTCAAGAGCCTTTCAGACTGTACCCTCTTCTGGTGAAATTCCGCAAGGCACGCGCGGCAGCGGCGGGGAGCGGCTTCACCCTCGGGCAACACCGCCCCAGCCGCCCCGGCGCGCGCCCGCCCGCCCCTCCGGGGGACGGTCACCGAGCGGCCCCGAGCCCCGGCTTTTAAAGCGGCCGGCGGCTCAGGCCCCAAAGTTCTGGCCCCGCGGCCGCCTGTTGCTTGGCAGGAATGCGTGCCCGTGCCCGAGAAAGCCCCTTCCGAGGCTGCTCCCGCCCGCGTCCGCGGTCCCTCCGGGTCTCCGACTCCCGCCCGGCCTCCCTGGTCCTTGAAGGTTCCCTACGACCCCCGACGCTGCCCCTCGGGCCGTGGGCGCCACCTTTTCGCCTCCACCTCCACAGCGAACAGCGAGGACATCCAGTCCAGCCCCTGGAGGAGAGAAGGGACCTGGCCAAGGTCACACAGTGAAAAGGCAGTAGAGCCCGGTGTGGCCACTTCTTAATCCAGAAGCTTCCTGCAGTCCTGGCCGATTGATCTACCCAGGGTTAGCAGGTTGATCTACCCAGGGTTAGCAGGTTGAAATCCCGCGGGGAGGCCCTAGCTGTCCACCACGTCCTGTTTTTCCGCAGCCCCCCTCCCCTGCCCACTACCACTGGCGGCCAGAGCCCTTGCACCCCTGGGGCTCCTGCCTCCCCATTCCCCACTCTGTCTCCGAGGCTTGCCTGCCCTTCCCACACCCTCCGCTGTGTCTCTCTTTGGGGTCGTGGCCACCGCTGTCTTTCAGCCGCTCACATGCCTGAACCCTCGCAATAGCTGGCAAGGAGATCTACACTGAAAATTACTGAACATCATCTGTGACCCAGAGACCGTGTGAAAAAAAATATCCTAGAGGGAGAGGTGACTTAGACGAGCACAGAGGATTTTTAGGGCAGCAAAACTATCCCGTGTGATAGCATAACGGGAGATACGTGTCTTTACGTATTTGTCACACCCACAGGATGTACAACTGCGAGAGTGAACACCAGTGTAAAAACTATGGGCTCTGGGTGATAAGGTGCCACTGCAGGTCCATCGATCGTAACGAACGTGCCACCCTGGTGGGGGATATTGATAGGGAAGCTGAGAGGTGCGGAGCAGGGGGTAGGCAGGAAATTTCTGCATGTTCTTCTCAATTTTGCCGTGACTCTAATCTGCTCTGAAAAATAGTCTGTTAGAAATATGATCCGTAGGGGCGCCTGGGTGGCTCAGTCGGTGAGCGTCCGATGTCGGCTCAGGTCATGATCTCACGGCCCGTGAGTTCGAGCCCCGCGTCGGGCTCTGTGCTGACGTCTCGGAGCCCGGAGCCTGCTTCGGACCCTGTGTCTCCCTCCCTCTCTGACCGTCCCCCGTTCACGCTCTGTCTCCCTCTGTCTCAAAAATAAATAAACGTTAAAAAAAATAAAAGAAAGTAAAAAAGAAATGTAATCCGTAGACTCATCATCAAGGAAACGGCGATCAAAACCACAACGAGACATCACCTCACACCTGTCAGCACGGCTAAAATCAAAAACACAAGAAACAAGTGTTGGCGAGGATGGGGAGGAAAAGGAAGCCTTAGGCAGTGTTGGTGGGAATGCAAACTGGTGCAGTCACAGTGGAAAACAGTATGGCGTTTCCTCAAAAAATTAAAAATAGAATTACCCTCTCAGCCAGTAGTTCTGCTACTCAGTACTACCTAGTAAATATTACTAGGCATTTCCCCAAAGGATATGACAACACAAATTTGAAGAGATACACACACCCCTATGTTTATAGCAGCCATATTTACAATAGGCTTATTACTTAGAAATTTACTTATTTCCACATTACGGAAGCAGCCCAAGTGCCCGCCAACAGATGAATGGCTAAAGATGTGGTATACATATATACTATGCAATATTACTCAGCCATAAAAAAGAATGAAATCTTGCCATTTGCAACCACGTGGATGGAGCTAGAGAGTAAAATGTTAAGCAAAATGTCAGAGAAAGACAAATACCACATGATTTCACTCATATGTGCAACTTAAGAAACAAAACAAATGAACAAAGGGAAAAAGAGGCAAACCAAAAACCAGACGCTTAGCTATGGAAACAAACGGGGGGTTAGCAGAGGGGAAGGGGGGGGAAGGGTGCGGTCCGTGAAGAGGACTGATGCTCATGCTGAGCACTGAGTAACGTATAGAATTGTTGATTGACTACTCTATACACCTGAAACTAATATAACACTGTGTGTTAACTCTACTGGAATTAAAATTTACACACACACACACACACACACACACACACACATGCACACACAATTCTGTAGACTGTGTTTTTTTTTTTAGAACTTAAAATGTTTATTTTTGAGAGAAGGCCTGTGTGCACGAGTAGGGGAGGGGCAGAGAGAGGGACAGAGGATCTGAAGTGGGCTTCGCGCTGAGAGCAGAGAGCGCGTGGCGGGGCTCAAACTCACGAACTGTAAGATCATGACCTGAGCCCAAGTCAGATGCTTAACCGACTGAGCCAGCCAGATGCCCCTAGCCGGGTTTGTTAACCCTTAGTTTCTATCCATTAATGGATTATGAAATCAAGTTCCTAGGTCACTGACAGCACTTTTTTTTTCTTTAATGAGTCAGTATCAAACATTGTATTACGATACATCACACAAAATACATACTGTTTGGTGCAATTTCTTTTTACAAATTTCTGTCCTTTCCGCTTAAAATCAGCCTTACAACCTGTTACTGCAGAATAAGAAGGTGAGATTCAGAAAGGTTGAGTAATAACAATATTTGCTTTGCGCTTGGCTCATGTAATTTCCACATGCTTCTCTCTGAGGAAATAAGATGTCAGGTAACCCCCCAAGATCACCCGGCAGGTGGCAAAGCTGGGGGTCTGAACCGCCATCCTCTGCTGTCACAGCCCACAGCCGTCACCTGCCCGTGTTCTGGTCACACAACTGATAACAGTGGAGGTGCGATTTGAACTGAGACCTGCCTGGCACAAAGGCCAATTCTTCTGTCCAGTGTAGTCCAGCACGCTGCTTCCTACCCACGCCCCATATTCATGTTTAGGTTCCTACTCACATCACTGGCCTTCTCAGTTGCTCCCTAGTTAACCTACAGAATTATGTTCAAATTGCATCTTAGTGTAAGTTTAATGGGCTTTAAAACACGCATTCATTTATTCAAATATTTATTGAGCTCCAATGGAAAGCGCCCAAGCGCGCGCGGGGGCTCGTGCGCGCGCACACACACACACACACACACACGCTCCACCCTGGCTATGGGAGCTGGGTTCATACTCCAGTAGAAAATATGTTTTTTTGTAACTAATACCTAGTTTGCAGTGAGAGTGTAGCTGAGAGGTGCCCCCAAGGAGTGGTGCTTCCTGAATTTCCCTACAGGGGGCGCCGAGGGGCGGCCCTGGATATCGTGGCAAGAAGTCGGAAGAGGAAGAGGCTGTGTTTGCTCAGGGCATTCGCTTGGCTTAGGTGTGCATTTGGGGGGTGTGATGGTGATCCCTCAGGCAGGTAGGGCCCCCCGACTCCAGCCACCCTTCGGTATGGTCTCTAGATCCAAAGTCTCTGGGTTCCAGATACCTTGCCGCCGCGGACTCGGGCGTCTGGAAGAGACTGCATGGAGGTTGAGCCCTGAGGTCTGAGGACCTCCCCAGTTTGCCTGTGCAGGGGTTACATGTCATTTGGAGGCGGGTCAGTACTGATGGGCGAAGCTGGAAACAGACCACATAGAGCCTAGTAGGTTCTGTGAGGAATCTGGACGGTCCATTTTTTAGAGCTCAGGTCACTCACTGCTCAGCAGTGGGTTGATTATGCAATTAATTTATTATTAACCAGCATTTTTTCCTGAGATAGTATAGAAAACGTCAGCGTACGTGGGAGAAGCAGATGTAACATCCAGCAGAGCAAATGTCAGCAGGCAGCTCACAGCTGAGCAGGCGCCACTGACAGCAGGTGCGTGAGAGAGAGACAACTGTAAGTCACAGGTCAAGGCCAGGGAGGTATTTGCAGTCTGAGGGCTGGTAACAAAAGGAGGGCGGGGAGGAGGGCCCCTGCTGGAGGCGCTGAGGCCATCCTGAACCTACGAGGAGGGGAGAGGCGAGGCACAGGAACCCTGCCCTATAGGGAGCAGCCTCAGCACCACAGAGAGGGGAGCAGAAGACTGCACCCACTCACCCCTCCAAACCTGCAAGCTCCACGCCCCAGCCTCTTAGCCTCCTTCCCAAAGCCTCACAAGCCTAGAGCCCTGTCTGCTGACAGGCTGGAGCACAGAAAGTCCTCCCTTCTCACCCCACCACGCTTTCCCCATGCACCTGATTCACACAGCGAGTCACGCTTGCAGGGCGGGTCTGTGGATTCCTCCGCACTGGGTGCTCTCCCTGGGCCTGTTTCGGGGAGGAATTGTGTCCTCCCCCGAATTCGTATGTTGAAGCCTTAACCCCCAATGTGACTGTGTTTGGAGATGGGGCCTTTAAGGAGATAACTAAAATTAAAAAGGTGAGGCCCTGATCTAATAAGATTAGTGTCCTTTTGAGAAAAGACTAACTAGTGATCTCTCTCTTTCTCTCTCTGCACACACACACAGAGGTAAACTATGGGAGGACACAGCAAGAAGGTGGTCCTCTACAAGCCCGAGAGAGAGCCCTCACCAGAATCCATATCAGGACCTTGATCTCAGGCTTCTGGCTGCCGGAAGGGTTTTGTTACGGCAGCCCAAGCAGACCAAGACATGCTTCCTCCTCCCTTACACCTGCCGCATCTTCCCTAGACCTCCCCCTTCTCCACCGTGCTAGACACAGGCCCCCCCTCACTCTACCCCTACACCCAGTCCAGATTTTGTGGAGGGTTATGCTGGAATACCATAGGTTAAAAAAAAATCCATTGGCTGTCTTCTCATCAAGAGTCACTGATGTGTAGAAACTTGAACCAGGAAGCTAGATGCATCAAGAACTTCCTGAGGGATCAAACCAGGAAAAAAAAAAAATAGCTTGGACTTTTTGGCTAAAAATAGAGAGTATCTTGCTGTGGTGTATTCATTCCTGCATATGACTTCTATTAGAATTGTACATTTCGTGATATCATAGGGGGCGGGGAACACAAAACCTTCTATTAGACACAAGAAGCAGCAGCAATTTTGACTCGTGTAGGTTTTTCATTTAAATAAGGAAGGGAAAAAAAACCCAGTCTATTTAGGTGTCATTGGGGAGTGATTGTTTGAGCTATAGTTTTCCTTATTAAATATGTATTTTTTTATTTGTTGAACAGTAACATTTTGGGCTACAGAATGCTCAATTTCCACGGCACTAATTAAAACCAGCACATGTGTATCTAAGTGATTTGTCTAGACAACAAATGATACGAGCTGCAGTCTACTCCCTTTTTATGGAATAATCAGTTCTGTTCAGTTAACATTTCTTTGTGTTTGGCTGAATTTAATAATACCTTTCATTAGGATTCACTTCTGTACTCCGTCGGAAATTTACATGTCATCATTTGCTATGCACCTGTCAGTGCAGTGAGCTGCCCCTGGAGTCCCAAAGAATTGATTGACTAGAAGCCCACCGACTCCTGTCTGAACAAACTGTGCCTGGGACTCAAGTGCAGGAGGCCGGCTGGCAGGAGGGGTGTTGAATGGAGAACAAGGGTAGAGGAGACAGTGATGTAAACCTGAATCGCCAGGAAATGTCAGTTGTGTCCCAGCCCCTGAGCTGGTTTTTTATTCTCTATGCCTCAGTTTTTTTCATCTGAAAAATGGAACTAGTGAACATTTCCTTCCCGAGTATAAGATGTATGGGGAACAAGTAAAATCGTAGCGTGAACAGGCGTTATGAAGTATAAGATGCTGAAAATGTGAAGGCAAAGGGAGGGAGGAAGGACAGGCTTGGACTTGTTGGATGCCACTCCTGCTGTGGGCATGTGCCTTTGCGCCCACACACCTCCGCCTCCCTGGCTCCATTCACTGTGACTCATCCAGCTCAGGTCGTGTGTGGGAGGACGGTGCACATGACAGGGCCACCGCGCGTCCCAGATATGTACGAAGACATCAGAGATGCTGCACGAGTACATCTGCCCTAGAGGCTGGCAGGTAGTACCCACTCTGGGCTTGAGATTCGCTGCTTTGACTTTCCTAGGGAAAAAAAGCACAGACAATGGGAGGACTCTCCCGCTGCAGGCCCCACCGGTTGGGAGCAGAGCAGTCACCAGGAGAGGGGTGGATGCTATTTGCTTTTGAACTTGCTTTTAAAGCACACTGGGAGGGACGCCTGGGTGGCTCAGTCAGGGAAGTGCCCAACTTCGGCTCAGGTCATGATCTCGCAGTTCGTGAGTTCGAGCCCCACGTCTGAGACTGTGCTGACAACTTGGAGCCTGGAGCCTGCTTCAGATTCTATGTCTCCCTGTCTCTCTGCCCCTTCCCCACTCACGCTCTGTCTCTCTCAAAAATAAACAAGCATTAAAAAAATTTTTTTAAGCACACTGGGAGTATAAAAGAAAACTCTCTTAGAAACAAGTCCTTTAGCATTTTCCTTTTCTCTAATTGCAAAATTAACATATACTTACTGTAAAAATTTTTTAAATGGGAAAGCCCATACTTGCATTCCCCAGATTCCTATTCCCCAAAGGTCAGTGTTGTACATATAGAATTAGTTCCCTGCTCTTGTGTAATGAATTACCACAAACTCAGCATTTGTCATTTTAAAATGACAAACATTTGTTATCTTACAGTTTCCATGAGTCTTGCTGAGGCTTAGCTGGATCCTCTGTTCAAGGTCTTACAAGGCTGCAGTCAAAGTGTTGGCTGGGGCTGGGGTCTTGTCTGGGCTCAGGCCCCTCTTCCCCGTTCATGTAGCAGAATTTCCTTGCAACTATAGGACTCATGGATGCTTAACCTTCTTTGAGATCAACAGCAGAACCTCTCTGATCTCAGTAAAGACCGAAGCCCTCTTTTAAGAGGCTTACCTAATTAGGCCAGGCCCACCCAGAAGAATTCCCCTGTTAATTAACTCAAACACACACTATTACATTACTATATACATTAACACCCCCCTCCAAAGAAATACTTAGGTATAAATCTGACAAAATTTAAACAAGATCTGTATGAAGAAAATTACAAAAGTCTGATACACTAAATATATGGAAAGTTATCCCATGTTCATGGATAGGAAGATTCATTTTGTCCAGATGTTAGTTCTTCCCAACTTGATCTATAAATTCAATGCAATTCCATCAAAATCCCAGCAGGTTATTTTGTGGATATTGACAAAATCATTCTAAAGTTTATATGGAGAGGCAAAAGGTTCAGAATAGAATAGTCAATGCGATATTGAAGGAGAAGAACAAAGTCAGAGGACTGATACTACCCGACTTTAAGACTTACTACAAATCTACAGTAATCAAGACAGTGTGGCAGTAAAAAAAAAAAAAAAAAAAAAAAATCAACAAATATATCAATGTAATAGAGTAGATAGCCCAGCAATAGACTCACATAAATACAGTCATCCGTTCTTTGACAAAAGGGCAAAGGACTACAAAGCAAAGATTCGTCTTTTCAACAAATGGTACTGAAACAACTGGACATCCATATGTGAAAAAATGAATCTAGACATAGACTTTACACCCTTCCCAAAAATTAACTCAAAATGGATCACAGACCTAACTGCAAAACACAAAACTATAAAACTCCCAGAAGATAACATAGTAGAAAACCTAGATGTCCTTGGGTGTGGCGGTGCCTTTAAAAATATAACACCATGGGGCGCCTGGGTGGCACAGTCGGTTAAGCGTCCGACTTCAGCCAGGTCACGATCTCGCAGTCCGTGGGTTCGAGCCCTGCGTCGGGCTCTGGGCTGATGGCTCGGAGCCTGGAGCCTGTTTCCGATTCTGTGTCTCCCTCTCTCTCTGCCCCTCCCCCATTCATGCTCTGTCTCTCTCTGTCCCAAAAATAAATAAACGTTGAAAAAAAAAATTAAAAATATATATATATAACACCAAAGGCACAATCCATGAAAGAAATAATCAATAAACTGGACTTAACTAAAATTACAAACTTCTGCTCTGAGGGGCACCTGGGTGATTGAGCGTCCGACTCTTGATTTTGGCTCAGGTCATGATCTCACAGTTCATGGGATTGAGTCCCGCGTCAGGTTCTGTGCTGACAGTGTGGAGCCTGCTTGGGATTCTTTCTCTCTCCCTCTCTCTCTGCCTCACCTGCTCTCACATTCTCTTTTTCTCCCTCCCTCCCTCTCAAAATAAATAAATAAGCTTTACAAAAATGAAATAAATAAAATAGGAAATAAAATCTTCTGCTCTGAAAAAGACCATGTCAAAAGAATTAGAAGACAAGCCACAGACTGAGAGAAAATATTTGCAAAAGATACATCTGATAAAGGACTGTTATCCAACATATACTAAGAACTCTTTTAAAACTCAACCATAAGAAAGCAAATAACCTGATTTAAAAATGGGGTAGGTGACAATGCTATGCTTTCCAATCAATTTTGATACAAACCTAAGACTACCCTAAAAAAATTAAGTGTCTTCAATTTTTTAAGTAAGTGATGATTTTCAGACAAATCTCTCTGGGTGCATACGTCCAAGTCCAGAGTTTACACTGACGATTAGCT